TTTTTGACAGGCCTGATGCTGGTAAGAGGAACATCAACGTCTTCGGTCAGGAGCTGTTCATTGATGTTGTAAAGGACTTCAACAAGAGATTCGGAGAAAGTTCTGCCATTGACAACAGCTTCTTGTGCTCTCCTGACTTTAGCAGCGGCCACGAGTTTCATTGCTTCGGTGATTTTCTGCGTATTCTTGACCGAATCGATACGGTCTCGAAGCTCACGGAGACCGCAGTGAACCGTGGTCGAAGACGAAGATGACCTTGAAGGTTACAGGTAGTTGGACTCTGGGATGGGAGCTGAAAAGGGTTGACGAATGAACGGCAAGAAAGCGAAGAAGTGTCGGAGAGAGAAGGTTTTGAAGACACCCACATTGTCAGATTTGAGCAAGACATGGTGGAACGATGGAGGAAATCATTGAGAAATGAGTGGAGGGAATAGGAGGAAGTGGATGAGGTTTTGGGATAAGGATTTAGAACAATTTTGATTCATTGATTTTTCATATGGGACCTAGTTGAAGTGGCAAGCTCTGAGTGGTTGTGCTTTGGATCTTAACTTGATAGGGTCCCATTTTGAAAGGCACATACTAGAGCTGGTTATACGGGCTAGAGCCCGTTTAGTTCACGGATTTTGACGGTGCGGGTTTAAACGGAAAAGTTTAAAAAGCCTGTAATCATAAACGATCTTGAATAATAACAATTTTAAATGTTTTAAATGTAATAAAAAAATGTTCTAACTTTTTACATTTTTAAAAATGATCAAACAACTTGAAAAGAAATTTAATAACAAAAGTTTAAATAAGTCTCAAGATAAACAAGTAAATAAATAACATCATAACAATATTAAGTCTCAATAAGTCTAAAATAAATAACACCATTAAGTCTAAAAAAATCTAAAATAAATAACACCATTAAGTCTCAATAAGTCTAAAATAAACAACACCATAACACTATTAAGTCTCAATAAGTCTAAAATAAATAACACCATAACACTAATAAGTCTCAATAAGTTTAAATAAAATCAAAATCAATAATATTCAATGTTTTTTGAATCATTAGATGTAGTTGAATATTCCATTTTTCCAATCATCAGAAACTTGTCCACTTCATCTACAATATAAAAAATTATAATATATTAGTTAGAATAAATTTTGAAATCAAAAGTAAATTTATAAAGATAATCATTTTCAGTTATTTGACAAAGAGTAGAGAATTTATACACCCATAACTACTTACTCTAATGGGATAAACAAATGAATACTCATTTTTAAATAACTATGTAAAGAAATTTCATATATAATTTGATTATGATTAGTTGTACTGTATGCTTTACAATTAAGCTAAGCATATGTTGATAAGTATTTGTCACTGAAAATATCAGGTTTATGCATAACATGTGCTAATATTATATTTTTATAAATATCTCATTAAACTATATAAGTTTACTTTTCGAGTTTAACGTATTTACAAGTTTTTAATACTCGCAGATTAGTCGAAATTGTATTTAAGGTATTGCAAGTTACTTTTGGATCATTCGATGAAAATGTTATTTTGTCTAAACTCCTAGATAGTGATATATGTTTTTTTGTTGTGTAGTTAACCAACTTTTTCTCTTTTCCAACTTTTCTGCTTGGATGCAAACTGGTTAACTAAAGATAAAGCATTGCTGGTAACCTGAGCAACATTGATCACACGACCTTTAATGGACATAAAATGCAAATAAAACATGAATTGGGATAAACGTGAATTTCGTGGGTATACCCATTAAATCCACGAGTTTAACAGTCCGAGCTAATAAGCCTACAATTTAAACGAGCATTATTTTTTGAGATCCGAAGCCCGCATTGGCCGTGGGTTATACGGATAGCCCGCGGGCCTTAGCCCATATACCCGGCTCTACACGTACCCCTCTCCATGGATTTCTGTATTCTTTCATCAATGGCTGCAAATATTTTACCTGATTTACCATGTCTGGGTAAATTTCCAGGATCCAAAGAAAAACTGTAAAAACCGCCATCGTCAGCATTCACCTGATGAGAAAAGTCATAGATTTCAATGCAGCAAAAACAGCTTTTCATCTCTAAAAATAGTAGCAGAAGAGACCACAGAGTTGAGCTTTACAGTTACCGACACCTATGGAGTGCAATGGTAAGGTATTTAATACCCCTTTAATTTAGGGGTCCAACTCGACTTGATTAGATATCGACGGAACCCATGTGCCTACCAAACATGGGGGTCTAAGACAAGAAGGCTTTATAATTTGAGCCTTCATCTATATTTCTAGAGAAAAGAATCAAAAGATTGCATTTTGCTGGTGTACGATGCCCTGAAACAATAGAAGAAGATGTAGTTTCCAAGCCACACAGTATGGACTGATACATTATTGGTTAGAGTTGAGCCGAACACCGACTTCAGTTTAACAGAACGAAACATCTGCATCGGAACCGGAAAAACTCAAATAATTGTTGGAGTGCTTTTAACTTCCGATGCCTACTTGTTCTTTGAAACTATTAGATTTAGAGCTCTTAATAATGAGAAAGGGAAGAACGGGCAGAAAACAAAAACCCGGACTCGAATCGTAAAGTCGAAGAGAGATTCCTATCGATAGGCTAATGCATGAGGTATTATTTCACTTGGTTACTTTCCTATTCGTTCAACAACAATTGGCCCCAATCCGCACAATGTGTGAAACCAAAACCTCCATATATTTCACATAGAGTAAGTTCAGTTCTTCATTGTCGACAATGTGGTATTAATATGAATATATATATATATATATATATATATATAATGACAACTGTTCTAACATGAATAAGAAAATATAAAAAGCTAAACTCTTGTCTGCTCATTTTCTTCCCCAAGAAGGGGGATAACAATAGCCCGGTATGTCGGTCCGTAAGGAACCACTCCTTTAAGCACCATGTAGTCGTGCAATTCAACAACTTCATCTGAACTACAGTTCTTAGCAGAACGTGTAATCAGCATCGTGTATGTTACAAAATCCGGAATCATGCCCTCTAGAACCATTCTCTTCATTAGTTCTTTTGCTTGTTGAAAGCACCCACACTTGCAAAGAAAGTTAATCAATGTGTTGTAAGTTACCGTGTTTACTAGCCTCCCTACCTTTCTCATCTCCAAGAATAGAGCAAATGCCTCCTCGATATCACCGTGGCTACAATAACCGCTAATGAGAGTGTTATATGTTATAGAATCGGATAAACCCATACTCTTTAATGAATCTATCATCCGTCTTGCAACATCCACTGACATCTCTTTGCACAATCCATGAAGAATAGAGTTATATATCACTATGTTGGGTTCTTTTTCCACCTTCACCATTTTGTCGTAGACCTGCACAACACTTTCTAGCTTCCCTACCTTGCAATACCCATCGATTAAAGCACCATATGTGACAGAGTCGGGAACTAAACCATGGACAAACATGCTACCCACAAGTTGCAATGCTCCTGATAAATCATTGCTTTTACAAAGGTAATTGATGAGAATATTGTGCGAAAACGTGTCTTCAATGACATTCTTTTCCAAAACCTGGCTATGAAATCTAAAAGCTTGCATCACATATCCATTTCTGCAAAGCCCCTGTATGACAGTGGAGTAGGTGAATTGATCGGGGAATACATGCTTGTCAACCATGTCGGATAATACCAAAGAAGCTCCCCTGGTATTACCTTCCGAGTAAAGCCAATGGAGAATTGAATTATAAACAACCGTATTAGGTGTCAAGCCCCTTTCAACCATTTCGTCACACAGTCTTAATGCCTCCTCCAAACACCCTTTTCGGGCATAACCATCTATCATTGTCGCATAGGACCTTACATCAGGCTTGGCACCTACCTTAATAATTTCATTAACGACTTCTTCCAAAAATTCCACTTTCCGTAATTTGCAAAACCCATTAATGATGGAATTGTATGTTATGGTTTTGGGCGAAACATAGTACTCGGACATCACTCCCATCTTCTCGACTAGCTTCAAGGCAAGCTCTATGTCACCCATCCTACAAGCTCCGTCTATCATCATGTTGAAAGTAACAATATTTGGCCGAATCCCACTCTTCAACATCCGATAAAATGTCGAAATAGCTTGCAGTAATTCACATTCCTTGCAAAGAGCATATACAACCAAGTTAAAAGTATTCACATTCTCAATATACCCGTATGAAATCATTTCCTTATACATGTTCCAAAACCTAACAAACTCATTCAACTTCAAAAGTTGACTCAAAAAATTGTTCCAAGCATGAATAGTAAGAAGACGACCCTCCATTCTCAGCATCTTAATGACCAAGTAAGCGCCTTCGGTAGCCCCACATCGAGTGCAAGCTCTAACCAACGTATCAAAAACTGCAGGACATGAATCACGGAATTCACAACTATCCAATAAACCATCCAAAACTTCCAATGGGGTCATTCCATTAACAAGGATTAATTTCTCCATTAGAGATAAAGCATCATCGAATCTCCTCGACCTGACCATCACATGAACTAGACCACAACAGGATGCCAATGAGAGTTGGAACCCTTTTTCCTCCCCAACCCAATTGTAGAACTCCAAGGCTAATTGAGGCGAGTTCCGAAACTCGCCTACAACACGACTCACCAATGCATTTGTGAGACTTGGGAACACTTGATCCAGGAATTTCCATCTCCTATGTCTTAAATTAACGCAGATTGCTTTGAATACAATGTCTTCACTACTTGGACAAGAGAATTGCTTACCTACTACAAGCAAACCCCGGCTGAAAAAACTTCTTTTGGACAAAAGAGAGCTCAAAACCATAGAAATATCGATACCCAATTCACAAAAATCACACTTGTTTCTGCAAAAGAAATTAAAACAGAGAAAAAACCCAAATCACTATAGCGAAGTATAAACATAATATCTGCTTAACTTGCGAAGAGACCAAAAAAAAATAAGAAGAAGAAATAGATTACCTAAGCTAAGCAGGTACCTTTTAAGCGGCTTTCAACTGAAAGTGCCTCGAAGAATGGCGACTGAGGAACTAGGATATAAAAGAAGTGTCGTCGCTTTTGAGGTTTCCGGTTGTCACATGCTCCTATGGCGGCAGCAATTCATGTACTCGGTCACCACCTTTGTGGGACCCAAGGTTAATTTGTCCGACATTTTTCTTGCTAGGCTTCAACAGTGTACTATATATGCTATATACAATGGGTAACTAAAACTAGACTTGAAAAATCATTCTTTATAGTTTTAAGATATTCGAGTTAAATTAAATTATTGATTCAATTTTTAAGTTTAAGTCAAGTTATCAACTCGAATAATAGATTCGTTTTAAATTTTGAGTTAAATTGAAATTTAAAAATTTTAAATTCTTAAAAAGATAAAAAAATAAAAAAAATAAAAATTTCATCTAACTATTTTGATAATTTTATGACTTAATCCATGATTTCCTTATTTCTTCATTTCGTCATTCATTTTAGGTCTATTTGTTTATCAAATTTGAACCAAATGCTCTTAAATCATCTTAGAATACATATGTACTTTTAATTCCTCTTTTTAACAACAAATTTTCTATTTTTCAATTTAGACCATTAACTTTTTCAAGATTTCTTTGCTTCTTCAATTCATATTTAATTTTAAGTTAATTTTTTTATCAAATTTTAATCGCATGCTCCTATACCACTATTGAACACCTATGTATCTCCAATTCCTATTTTGTTAACTAAAAATATATTCTCTTTTTTATTTAGTCCCTTAACTTTACATTTTATTCAATTTAGACTTTTGTCTGCAAGTAGAGGTGAGCATTTGATCGAGTCAAGTTGAGTTAAAAAATTCGAGTTATTCGAGTTGAGGAGTCATATTTCACAACTCGAACTTAACTTGAAACATTTTCAAGTCGAGCGAGTTCAAGAAATTTGAGTCTAGTTATTAGGGTTTCTATGTTAATTTTATTATAATTTTTTATAGTATTATGGTAAGGATTGGCTCCAATTTTTTGACTTTATCTAACCATATAAGATATATATTTCATATTCTTTTCACATTATAATTTTATTTAATATATCAAATATAATTTAAAATTATAAAATATATTCATAATATTATATTTTCTTTATTTTGAGAGTAAAATATTGGTGAGAGTATAAAAGAGTTAAGGAATTGATAGAAAGAAAGAATTTGTAAATAATTGTAGTCAAAAGATTAAATTGAGTAAATGCAATGTTAAGTGTCTAAATAAAAAAAGATAGTACATTTTTAGTAAAAAGAAAGTAGAATTGAAGCAATAAGTAAATATGTAAATATGGTATATGAGCATGTGGTTCAAATTTAGTAAAAAAATTACTTAAAATAAAAGATGAATTGAAAAAATAAGTAAATTATGAAAAATTGAGGGACTAAAATTGAAAAATAAAAATTTATTAGAGAGAAGAATTGAATGTAAATATGTATTCTACGATGGTTTAGGAGCATGCAGTTTAAATTTGGTTAAAAATATACTTAAAATGAATGAGGAATTGAAGGAATAATGAAATCATAGATTAAATTGTAAAACTGTCAAAAACATTTTAAAATTTTTGGCTTTTTGAGTAACTCAAAATTTCTAAATTTTGACTCGATTCAAATTGATAATTTGAGTTTACTCAAATAACTTGAGTCGAATAACTCGAAATTGCAAAAAAAAAATCAATTTTTTGAGTCAAGTTAAGTTTTGCTTACCTTAACTGTAATTGTTTACAAATTATTTCTTATCATCAATTCCTTGACTGTTTTATACTCTTATCAATATTTTACCCTTGAAATATCTTATTTAAAATATAATATTATAAATATATTTATAATTTTAGATTTTATTTCATAAATTAAATAACATTATAGTGTGAAATATATATATATATATATATATATATATATTATATGGTTAAAGAAAATAAAAAAAAATTAGAATCAATCCTTACCATAATACTATAACTAATTATAATAAAATTTCTATAGAAACTCGAATACCTCGATTAATTTGAAAATTTTCAAATTCACTTCGAGTCATAAAATGCGGCTCGTCAACTTGAATAATTCAAAATTTTGTGACTTGATTTGATCCGATCGAATGCACACCCTTACCATATACTGTGGGAAGATTTATTGGGTTAACTCCCTCATTAACCACTTTTTTTTGGTTTCCCTCCTGGTTTCAATGCCTCATCTTGACTAATTCGGACCAATTGGCGTCGCACATTTGATTTTGGTGGGTGAGTATTCTTATAGGGATTTTCTGCATAAATGATTGTAAAACCGTTGTTCTTCTATGCTTGGCAAGTAAACTTGACCCTTATCGTGCGAAGGAAGTCCTTAGAGGACTAACCAATTGCAATGTTAACAAAGGTGGGTTTGAAATTCCCCCTTATTAAATGTGATACATGCATAGATTAGGATTCACCTCTTGCCATCTGATTGATGCATATAAGAACATCCCTTTGGATATCAAGTAGCATAGAAGTTATTGTTACGTCTTTGACTACATATTTAAGTTATTTTCTTATGTTGTCGTCTGCTTCAGTTTGCCCTTTTGTTTTCCCCAGTATGAGGCATGTTGCAAACACCTGTGGAAATGGGATAAGTAACCCGACGACTTGTTGTGATGCAATGGGTAACTATGTCTCTCACTTGCAAAAGCAGACCCTTGTCTTACAAGCTTTGCATTGTGCTACCTCCCTAGGGTCGAAGCTACAGAAATACATCACCACCAAAGATGTTTATAGCCTCCGTCACATAATCCTCAAAGATTTCTCCCTTCAAGGATGGTTTTGTTTTTTATTGTACCTGTACCGAGCAAACCAAAGTGATCTTGATGTGACAATTTCGAACTGGTACTAACACTTGATTCTATTTTTGTTGTCATGATCGATTTTGATACCGATTACCACCAACTTGTATGCAACAGTTGGAAGTCAGGGTAAGGTGTTTACACCACTCATTTCTAATGGTTATTTACAATTTCTTTATCATGGCTCTTGAATCTTGTTGACGGCTTGCTTGAAAAGCAATTAGCATTGCTCGTATGCTCTAGATTATTTAACACACACTTGAGCATTTATAATATTAGTGTATAACATGTATTTTTTCAACTGCTTTTAGTATCTGGATGCCTTCTTCCAAGCCTTCCCTCTGATGAGACGTTTGACAAGTTCTCTGGAATCAGTTTCATTTGCGATCTGAACGATAATATTCCAGCTCCATGGCCAAATCCATCACTTCTACCAGCTTCATCATGCAATAAAAGTATGTACTATAAATGGTAGTCCATATTATAAACCGATTTCATATTATCATGATACTTCTTCTCGTCATCTTTTATTTATTTCATCTGAAATTTTGGCATGCAGCTGTAAGAATACCAGCACTACCTGCAGCTACAAAAGCTCAAAGTGGTAAGAAATGGACTGATTTACTCAAATAACTGTAATCACTTTGAGACGAGTGGAATTGTAGATGTTAATCTTTCCATGAACTTGCAGACTCTAATCGTTGAGTTGCCGAGTCATGTTGGTTGAACATAGGGTTGACAGAATAATTTTTTAATGAAGTTAAAACTCAAACTTATTGAACTTTAATTATGGTATTTGGCGCCTCTCTCTCTCTCTCTCTCTCTCTCTCTCTTATCGAGTAGTCATTCTCTCTCTTGCAGGTCTTTACAATGAATACGTTGCAATTTATCTTCTCATCGCTTCTTCGATGACCATGATGATGCTCTTACAGTTCTAGTTTTCAAGGCCGATTCAATCTTTATCCATAACTGCATGATATAAATATCAGTCTTCTTTGACCAAGGACAAATGGATGAAATCTTCTCGAGTTTTACAGTGAGACGAGCACGACCCCCTGTTAATGGAAAGTTCACTCAGGCTCGATGATCAACCAGGTACCCACTCAATACTTGACATTCTTGCATGTTGTCTGTAATAATATTTTGTAAAAAGCAACATGTATCTATATAAGTATTGGATTATACCATGTAAATTTTGATTGGAGATTTTACGAGAATTTACTCCATTGCTTGAGAGCTATGTGTTGGATTAGTTGAACAAGCTTTGTTTAGGTTATCTTTGGTACTTTGATCATAAGACGTTGGCATGAGCTCATAATGTATATAATTACTACATGCATGAAAAGGAAACAAGAGTTAGACATCTGAGGCTCGCTGTCTGTGGTTGCTTTCAGACAGCGTCCGAGGCTAGGCTGCTTCGGTCGTGTCCTTGGATTGTGCCCCGATTGAGGTGTTGTTGCAGAGACTTATAAATGCTGTTGGGCCATTCATCAATGGGTTCATACCTATTTCACTTTGAATGTGCAGTTCACTGTCTGCAGCTGTGGAAGTGTAACCCTTTCACTTTCACATATAGTTGTTTTCAATAATACCAAGTGACACTCATGTGATCCTTTTGATCTGAAGAAAGTATATCCAAAAACTAATATGGTGTTAGATCAAGTGGTAAGGAACTCGATAATCAATAGATTTTATCGACTCGATTTAATCAAGGTGTATGGCCCGGACATTACGGGTCTGTCCTGCTATTGCATTGAAATACGAAATCCGAGGTACACATGGATGAACGTTGAAATGTTGTAATGTGTACAGAATCAAAGTTTACAAAGGAAAAAAAACTCCCAAACAAAATACCATGCTATGCTATACTAAGATGGCTATTAACTGTATTGATCCTATTTATAAGTTTTACTTGTAGTTTAACCCTTGTTAATATTTTGAACCAAGCTTTGTTCTTGCGTGTATTAACTTTAAAATACCCTTAAATTCTTCTCCCTCTATGTAATGATTGATTGTGATTCGGAGATACGTATCAATTCGTCGATAGATTTTGAATGATTCTTTTAATCTTGTTCAAGATGGTGTAAGCTAGAAGAGTAAGACCTGTTTTCTATATAGTTTGAATACATTCAAAAAAATAGAATATTCAGTGATCTATTTCAGAGCTTAAATTAACAATGTATTAAATGTAGTAATGAATTAGGCTTGTTGCGTTGATCATATTCATAGGCCTATTCTCCACAACTAGCACTCAGTCAATAATTAAGTTTATTTTTTCGGTGATCACTTAACTTGTTTAACCTTAAAATGAAATTCTTTTTAAAAATAATTATTCTCTCTGTCTCATTAATTTTGTTCGAAGTTGACTAAACACGTAATTTTAAAAAATTAATTTGACCACAATCAAATCGAATAAAATGAGAGAAAAGATAAAATTATTAAAAAAATGATTGATAGATTTGATTTTAATGATTTGTAAATCGAAATATAATAACATGTAAAAAAATATAAGTGTTATTATTTGTTTATTTCTCTAATAGTGTATTTTGAATGAGATAATTTTTTTATTAATCTAGGATAAGTATAAGACAGTATCTATTCAAAAACTCATGATTATTTGACATTGAACATTCATACCCCTACATGCATAGTGCTTCAAGTTAAAATCTTAAGAAATAACAATAATTTTTTACTATCGAAGTGGCTCGAGACATATAATAATCACCACTATAATACAATAAAACAAATATCAGTTAAAGGACTTAAAATTATCACATATCATCCGACATGACTTGATTTCAAAGTTCTTCAATTTTGCTTAACCTTGATGTTGATATCCCTCTAACTAGTGTTTGAATACTTAAAGTTATTTATATTTAAACGCATTTAACCACGTAACGAAACACTTGTGGCCTAATGGATAAGGCGTCTGACTTCTAATTAGACGATTGTGGATTCGAGTCCCACCAGGAGTGTAACAATGTTTTCTATATCTCAATAAATATAAATATAATAAATGAGAATGTTGTTGTTCTCTCATCCTTTTTTTTTCTTTCTTTAAAAGTTGGCAAGGTCTTACAAGATTCTGAGTTATAGCTTTTGTTTTGTTGGAGCTTTTGATCCAAAACCAATTGCATGTAGTAAGATAAGCTAGGAAGCATAGCAACGTGCCAACATCTGTCAATAGATATATATATCGTCTTCTTAGCTGTCCAAATTATTGGGATGCATCGTTGTAAGATATCAAGACTTGTACATGTAATCCAACGTATATCAATCGGGCTTGTTCTTGGATCTAGCTGTTCCCATACGCAGTCTTTTTGGCATTCTTATCTTAGTTCGTCATCGATAGCCCTTTCATCGAGTAGGTGATATCAGCTGTTCAAATCCAACCCATTTCTAGTATCAAGCACTTATGAAAATTTCAGACACCACTCCAGTTTCTATACGGCACTGACGACATATCGATATCGAACTTTTAGATAAGAAACTGAGTCAACTCCAAGAAAAAACTTGCCTATTGCACAAATAGGCCGTAATATGTTCATAATAGTTCAGAGGGTTTCCTGATATAGTTTGTGGATAGGTGATCCTGCCTCTGTTTGACATGTTCGGTCAGATGATTTACAATTTTACGGTGTCGTTGAAGGATCGTTTGATGTCGGGCATCTTCTTAATGTTAAGATAGGTGAAAGTACCAATGTGCATCTCAGTTGATATTTACGTAGAAGCTGCTAAAGCATCTGAGTCCATGTCTACAAATATTGCTACTAGTTTCTTACCTACTGAACACCAAGCCCTAAGTTCTGATCTTAATCCACATGAATCTGTCCAGGATGATGTGAAAAGCCTTGTTATTGATAACAACGGTGCTCCGGAAATGCTCAACCCGTGAATTCTGATCTTCAAGACCATCTAGTTTCTCAGCTACTTAACACCAAGCCCTGAGTTTGATCTTCAAGACCAAATCTATTTAACATCCGCAAAATCTCTTATAAGGTTTGGGTTTTTGTTGAAGAAGATGCACATCATTTTCCAATTACAAGATGCTCCACTTATTCGACTCCTCCCGAATTACCCAGAACCTCCCACCAATCCCACACAAGATTCGGCCAACGAACCTAAGCTTATGAGTGCTGCTCTTGTTAAGGCTGCTAAACAGGTGAGAATGGGTATTTGATTTATCATAGTTTCGGGAACCAATGTTATTAATTGTTGCTGGTACTTCTTTCCCAGTTTGATGCATTGGTTGCTTCACTTCCACCTTCAGATGGAGGTGAAGAAGCTCAGCTCACAAGGATTGCTGAACTCTACAATAGTTTATTCAATTTAATGACCATTTTATAACTTTTGAAAGTTCAAAGACCAAATGATATACTCAGTAACCGCTGGGGTACTCTACCCTTAAAATTACATGTTAGTATGTTAGTATTTCTTTTTTGATGGTCATCTTTGTTGCCTTCATTTCTCGTCCAGGCTGAAAATGATGCTGTAGGCGAAGAGCTTCAGAAGCAACTGGAGGCTGTTGGTACTTTTTTTTTACTTTCTTTGTTACTCGAACACAATTGCGATCATATCGGATACCATTACGAATCCTGTATGGGTATCATAAAAGTCCTTGAAAGGTCGTATCCCTTTCTTCAGATACTTATCTTCCTTGAGCACTTTAAGAAAAACGAATACTCCTAGCAATACAAGCATCTTCCATTCTCTTAAGGGAAAAATTATTACTGAAATACTAACTAGTAGGCATAGCAGATGACTAAGATCTAGGTTGGGCCGGATTCGACAACTGGACAATAGTTGCTAAGCAGAGGATGATAGCTTTGTGTTGGTTGTTCATACATGTTTCTTTTGAATTTTTAGTTCGTTTTCAACTACTATTATACATGTTTCAACTTATCTTTCTTGGAAGTTAACCAGGATGTTTGAAATGTCGAAAGTCTTGGCTACCCGAATGAAGTTTCGGTGTTTTTGTTTCCAGAGAAGGAATTGAAACAAGTTCATAAGTTATTCAGTCAAGCAGCAGATAATTGTCTGAACTTGAAGAAAACAGATTGAAGTCCTTTATGGCTTTAATCCTCGAGTATTGAAAGGTACTTAACTGTTCCATCCAGGCGTTGGCACTATAATTCAATCACAGTACTCTTTTATGTTTGTAAAAAAGCATATTTGTTGTTAGAGTAAGCAATGGTCGGATAAATTTTCATTTTTCTGCCCTAACCTATACCCAGGATGCCCTACATTCACCTATATCGATAACCACATACCAGTTTCAAGATAAAACGACAGTACACTTGCCTGGTTGCAGCTTTATATACAGAGTGCATCTCTCACAATCCGAACAACCATGCACGTGTCATGCACCCATTTGATGATTAATGGTTTCGATAACCATTTGTTATCAGTTTAAGCAGTTGGACTGCCTCCTTCAATCTTCTATCTGTGCTCTCTTTTAAGGCAACAGTACGAGGATTCCTGTCGGATTAGGAACATAACACAAGTTTTGGGTCATAAATCACTTCACAAATCATATGTTTGTAAGGAAATACGCTCTTTTACTGCCTAAAAATTTAACCTTTTCTCAATGTTTAATTTCCTTGTAAGGTCTTCAGCAAGAATGTGTAGTCTCTTCAAAAGAGCAGGCAACTTGTGTACAGCTTTCACATCTTTTGGATTTGAACATATCTTCTTCAAGATCTCGGAAGCAATAAAGTAACCTTCTTCCTTGTTCCTGGAGATGTAAATTATTACCGAATCAGAAACAAAAAAACGTAAAGATGTATTCAAAATCTCCAACCGGAGAAATAGAAAACCTGAGCATCTCCCATAAAATTGTCTCTACTGATGGAGGACTGTCGATCAACATTTGGGCCAAATGCGGATAACGAGCAAGGTTTCTGAGTGTTGAGAGTGCATGCTTTAGAACCTCCTGATCGGGGATGCTTCGACTGGCTGAGTGAATCTGTTTTAGTAGAATGCCGATTGCATCCGCAGCCACAAGTTCTTCACAGCATTTCAGAGAATGGGCTGTTGCTATGTCTGCAATTTAAGTGTTGTCATAAGTACGTTGATTCAATCGCATTTCATCACTGATCCGACTCCTCGTTTTTGAAGTATCCATGTCCAACACCAGTGTAGAACACATCCTCGGATAAACTAAGTATGAACTTTGTACAATACAGTTTGCTCACTTACCTAAGGTCTCACAGTGGTGAAGAATGCCACTGATACTTTTCATGCTTAGTAGTTCTGAAAGTGCTGATAAAAGCCTGTTAATAATACGTTTGATATCGTCGACATTCTTAGCAGACTTCTGCATTCTCAAGCGCAAATCCTTTAGCAGCACTCTCGATTCTTTCCGAGCAACATAACCTTTCCAATATGACTACCAAATTTCACAATAAAAAATATTAAATAAATTGGTTGATCCATTCAATGCACTATTAAGAACATTAGCAAAAGGAAGAGGGTTGATCCATCCAGCAATTTTAACCAAATGCAACATAGTTTCAATTACAAACCAAGCTGATATATGACAAGAAATCCAACGGTTAAATAATAAAATAAGGAAACACTAGAAGTCTAGAACATAATCAATTATGGAAGAAACAACTTACTTGGATCATAACAATAAGATACTTATATCTCCAAGCTTTTCTCCTCGCTATCCATCCACGTACATAAGATTGAATGATGATAGCTGATCTGTTGGCGTTTTCATATTGTTGAGAAGCCCTCAAACATTTTCGCCGCCGGAAATTACTTTGGATTTTTATTATTGCTTGCTTCTTCTTCATAAAACTTATCCTCAACTGCCAAGCACGGAACCAACTCTGAATTTCGGTTGCAGCTAATGTCTGATTTTGAAGAGATCTACAGGCAAACTCCTTCCTAGCAATCTGAAAGGTCCTATAGCATTTCAGTCGTCGGAAATTGCTTTGGATTTTTATTATTGCTTGCTTCTTCTTCATAAAACTTCTTCTCAACTGCCAAGCACGGAACTGATTCTGAATTTTGGTAGCAGCTGTTTGATTTTGAAGAGATCTACAGGCAAATTCCTTCCTTGCAATCTGAAAGGCCCTGTAGCATTTCAGTCTTCGAATATTACTTTGAATTTTTATTATTGCTTGTTTCTTCTTTTTATAACTTCTTAACAGCCAAGCACAGAAATGACTCTGAATTTTGGTAGCAGCTAATGTCTGATTTTGAAGAGATTTACAGACAAATTCCTTCCTAGCAATCTGAAAGGCCCTCCAACATCTCAGTCGCCTGAAATTACTTTGAATTTTTGTTATTGCTTGCTTCTGCTTCATAAACCTCCTCCTCAGCCTCCAACCCCGAAAACACCTCTGAATTTTAGTTGCAGCAAAAGTTTGTTTGGATTGAGATCTGTGAAGAAATCTCTTCCATGCAATCTGAATCCTGGTTGCAGCTTCTATATCACTATTACATAGACCATTCACTTGGCTCTTAAAAGATGCATTCTCAATATGAGCATGGCCAAGAATGTTGAGTGACCTCACCATCCAACCACGAACATATTTCTGAATTACAATGGCAGCTTTGACTAGGTTTCGATGGGATACATCTCGTTTTTTGGCAATATGAACACTGATCTTCTTAAATTAACAAAACTGTGTCTCTCGGCAACAAACCTTACAACTCTTCTGAGTTCTTCTGGCAAAGCAAAGATAAAAAATTGAAGTGGGAAACCGGAAATGAAAAAAAGCATATAACCAAAATGCTTACAAGAGCAAATACCAGATGGAAATTCCCGAATACTGGCAAACTTGAAATTGTTGAGCTTTGTATTTTTCTTTACAGTCAACCACGCGCGCATAACAGCTTGGACTAAACAGACTGCTTTCATCATCTTGAGAAAATTGCGACGCTCTATCAAGCGCCTATAATGAGACTGTATGATTTTTGCAGCTTTTTCTGAAGCATTACGCAGGAATGGCAAGGTTAGAAGAAGAATATTACTTACTGCTAGATGCTATTCATGATGAATGCAATGAAAGGTCAAAGATACCAAATTAAGTTTGAGCAAGCCATAAAATCAAAACAACCTTAGAGAAACGCATAATTTATCGAGTATAGTTTCAGAATCCAGTGATTTTAACTCGCTGTGAACAGATTTCCCATGAGAATTTGCAATAACAAGAATGTGGCAACAATCAACGAATATCAAAATTAAATAGCCTAAGAAGAAAATTTTAAGCCAATTGATATTTATAACTCATACTTTGTGTTGACAGCAACACTAACCTCTTAAAATGTCAGAGCTTGTGCTCTGAGTTGGTGAACAATTTGAAGCAGAAGCAGCAGGTCTTATAGAATTCTTGTAGTTTTGTTCTGTCATATATCGCCACCAAGCATAATGGCCTTGAACTTTTTGGCAGCATCTGCATGAATTAAATATAATGTAAGAGTAAATATAATGTCAGAGTAAGTAAATGAAGGCTTGAACATTTAGTGTACTGGCAAATGCTAAAACTTCACCTGATAATTTCCTTAAACTAATCATATCAAAAAAGCATACATACACACACCACTCACAGTGTATATTAACAATAAAAAAGGGGCTTCATGATTTGTTAAAGGAAGCAGTAGAGGAAGTTAGGCAGATCATATAAAAAAGGCAATAACACCAGTTGTCTGGACATTTCTCGGATTAATTAGCATCTATTTCTTGGAGAATAAAACCAATATCAAAGACAATGGAATCCATGAATTGCACCAACTATAATAAACTCATAGCTAAAGCACATTTCTTCTGTATGAACAAACTGCAGCCAACTCTAGCTTATTTTCCATTTTTTTTCCCAAGAAGCTAGGTTCAATAAGAATGATTCATACACTCACAGTTTCATGCTTTTTTGTAGGATGTGATTGTGTTTGGTCTTTGATTTGCACAATTCAACCACATTTAGCTGCATATAAAATCAAAACAGATGTATCTGACATGCATACCTTCATTGATATCCATGTCTCTTTCCTTTTGCACAACAGCTTGAGAACTTGCTGACTGTCTTCGAGTCAATGAATGCCTCCGCTCAAGGTTTGGGCAATTGCAACCCAATAGTTTTTGGAAATTCAACTGATCCTGGCAAAGGATAGAAGAGTTCTTGAACTGTTTGCAGCTACGAAAAAATCAAATGGTTTATAAAATGACTTCTGGGATCAAGCATTACCATATTTTTCTTGACAACAAGCTGGGACAACAGGAAAACAAGCAAATTTACCACACTCTGATCACTGACTGCACCATTATGCTCAAGTAAGTCACTTATTTGCAGAACCTGTACAACACAGCAGGCAAAGGCAAAAGGGTAAGCACTATCATTTAACACCGAATCAGCTTTTAAAACATTAGCAGCATCTCCCAAAATCTCACTTAACCTCAGTTTTAATTTTTTTAATTAAATATAAAGTAGATAGTATACAATCAATTAATAACCATTAAAATGAACATTACCTCAGGGAAATTTCCCAGAAGTGCTATCAGTTTCTGTGATAACATAAAATTGTGAACTGCATCTGTGTAATCTGTAGCAGACATTATTGATTCTTCTCCTTTTGGGTAATGAGAATCCTGTTACGCCATAACAATAAGATGATAATACATATCACTGTAGAAAAGAATAAAAACATAGGGCCTGAGAATCTGTACCACCTTGTTATAACAAGAACAGGACAATTCTCTGCGGAAGTAATGATCAAGCAAGCACCATATGGCTTTTCCATTAACCAGTGAAGAAAAGCTTTCAATCTTAAGATCATACTTTTCACAAATTGCCTACAAACATTCATCTATATTGTTATTAACTGCAATGAAAGGAACGAAGATGCAATTTAAGTGAGAAGAAGAAAAAACAATGTTGCTATGAATTACAGAATACCTGGGTCCAGTTTAAAAGCATTCCCAAAAAAGTGGAACATATTACATTCAAGTTATCCTGTAGTGAGCATAGAAATGAAACTGAGATTATGAACATTAGGAAACCCTAATATACAAAAGAAACAAAAATGAACTTAGCCTAGCATTTCTATTACTTGAGCATAAAGCTAGTTGCTATATTTCCTACATGCACTTATTTTTTTTATGTAATGAACAGGAAAACTAAGTCAATTATCCAGCTCTGTTCCCCACACACCCCCAACCCCTCACTTGTCACCCCCCATTTTTTCACAAGAACTAAATGAAAATCTGAAGCATAACATATTAAAGCCACCTATTTTGGATATTTCGCCAGAAATAGTTGTTTTATCAATCAGAAGAGGCAGCTGCAAGTTCAATGAAAACAGAAGTGAGAAATAAAAGATTAACATTTGCAAAATTTCTGAAACCATTAGCATTTATAAATTTCAAACAAAGATAAAATTAGCAGACCTGTAAGTGAACAAATATATTCCACAGCAACGAAAGAGTGAATTCCTTATCTCCACCAGCAACATCATCTCCTGTAATCTTCAATCCATCTTCATCACACAGCATGACACCAGCCTGTTCCAAATATTGCAGGGCAACACCACAATTGGCCAAATTCCTTTTTTGTGTGTCTGAAGGAACTACTATTTTCTGCTCATGAAAAAAGAAGCTAAGTTAAATTACATTCCATGCGTTGCTAAAAGATAACTAATTGATTATGATGTTTTGATTTTATGGGGATACAATATAAATACCAACCATGAGGATAGAGGGGTCATGTCGCAAAAGTTGAATTACTCTACAAAGCCGCACCCCGTCTTGAAAATCCAAGAATAAATCTGATACTTGGAAGTCAAACTCAGCAAGGGCAGACTGCATCAAGGTAAATGTTTGGATGTTAAAAAGAAGAACTGAACTTATAATTCCATACTTCCAAGATGATATATAGAGTTAATGAATAATCATCAGGCATAAAATAACTCAGAATTAAGTTGTGAGGTTATAGATTAGTATTGAACCACACAAGTGTATGCATATGCACCCACAAGCACATTACATATGGATTAAATGTAAACCACATACCTGCTGATGAGAAACTTTGTACCCTACAACCACTAGATGTGTGAGAAGATTACCTTCGCCGTGCATAACATCCGATGATAAAAAATCTAGTTTTATATCATAAATGAAGACAAAGTTAGCCCCAAAAAATAGCACATATAACTTTAAACTAAGCAACAAAAACATTCAAGCTAGGAGCTATAAAATTACCATTAAGAACTTGACGACTTGATTTTATACCAGATGAAACTGTGAATAGAAGAGGAGAACCTCCGTCCACTCCATCAATACCGTACTTAAGAGGAAGAGTAGTCTGAGATTTAGCTCAATCTAATTACAAGCAACAAAATCCTCTTCAATATAACATTCCCCAAATTTTCATAGTATCCCGGCCTGTACAAGCCTTCAACCTTCTTGTTATAAGCATAAGCCTTGGCAAGTCCAGGGTGCGAGAAAAATTGATTTTCTATAACCATCTTCAAAAATGAAATATCTTGCACAGAACTATCATCTCCATCAGATGATAACAAGGAATCACCGCCAAAAATAATATACAAGCCAATTTGGAGCCAAATTGTGTTGTAAGACATAAAAATTTTACATGCATTTTCCTTCATTCCAACGTCAGTAACTATTGGACAGTGTGCCTTCATTTTTAACCTTCCTTCATCTATATTCTGAAATTTAAGTAAGAACAACAATAAGACTCCAATGCTATCACTAAATAATTAAAAATATATTTTTAATATGAGAAAACTATCACTAATTTAAAACTACCATTCCCCCAAAGAAAAGCACAGAGAAAACGAAAAGGATAACAATTAGAGAAGCGAAACCTTAACAACATGAGCCATGGTTTTGAAAATCTCATCGCAACTCCCCAAACTCAAATAAATCTGCATCCTCTGCTTAAAATCATCGAAACTACAACCTTCCTTCAACGAAGACCTCAAAATGGAATAATTCGAGCTCGAAATATTCACGGCTACGTTCTCATCCACTTCATTCCCTCCCCACCACAACTCTCTTATCCGTTTCGGGCTTCTCAAGGCACTATCCACTCGAATAATATTCCTATCATCACGGCCATTGATGGACAGATCACATCCGCAAGACTTAGGGTTCTGGAAGAGGAAATTCAACCAAACGGTAAGAGATTTGGACAATGACTTGAGCGTCTGCTCTTTATTGAGCTGCTCTTTCCTAGCCGACTGAGATTGCTGGAGCTCGAGGGCTTTGAATTTGGCGGCGGCGGAGGAGGAGGCATTGGGTCTGGAGAAGGAAGAAGAAGGGGCAAAGGAAGGTCGAGACCGGTGACGAAATGACGATGATGTCCTCGGGGTCTGTTTGGAAGCAGTGAAGTACTGAGGACATGTTGAGTGGAAAACGGGAGGCTTTGACGGCCGTTTTGGGGTTTTGAAATTGGAGATGTCTTTGAGAAGTAAAGACGAAGAAGACAACGACGACGTAAAAGGATCTTCCTCCATTTTGGGGCTTAAATTTGATCGACGGATTCGATATTCAGTGAAGTAACTGGGAGATTTTTGCAGCGAAGAAATTATTGATTGAGTTGAGTTGAGTTGAGTGAGTGGGAGCGGTGAAGAAGAGAAGAGGAAAAGTGGGGTTTCTTAATTTGAATTTGAAAAGCCGGCCACTGGCGCTTGTAACGTTAAGATGAAGCCGGGTCCTCAGACACGTGTGGGTAGAAGTTTCCACACGTGCTATTTTGTGATAAAGCTTTAGTAACCGTCGCATTCAAAAACGTTTTTGGGCAATTCTTTTTGAATAATGTCATAAAAAGGGTCTTCGGCAAGATTACGACGTTCTAACCTTTCAGATGGGCATGCAATTAAGAAGAAAATATTGTATAGTCTGAGCGTTTTTCAGAAGAAATCATGCCGTTCGATTTTGGGAAAAGAAAATGTTTGAAGTACACTTTTGATTGTTTATAAATTTCTGATGACTTTTCGATGAAATTTTTATAATCTTATTAATAAATGCGTGATAATTGATAACAGTAAAAAAAAACATATGATGGCCATCGTTTATAAAATGAAAATTATATAAAAAATTTAAATTTTAAAATAAACACGTGTACACACTAAATCATTTTGTCATTAAAGTTGAGCTGATAAAGGGAATAAATTTTAAAATTATTATGATCAAATTTTAATAGATTTAAATGATCATACTTTTTTGTTTTATAAAATTACATATCGGAATTCATCAAGCAACCTTGTTATTCTCTTTTGAGGTTTTGAGTTCAAACAATTAAGTTTGTAGGATGTGTACATTTTACCGATGATTAAAAAAATTCTAAACAAATAATACTTTTGTAATTACCTATTTTAAAAATAAGTGTCTAAAGAATTTTTCGAAAAATGTTTTAGTGCTTAAATAATTTTTTCGTTAAAAATAGGTGTATAAATTTTTCTCTGTTATATTTTTAGTTGTCTGTCGTTAAACAAAATCGTTAATTGACGCGAGTCACATTTATATTTTTTAAATAAAATATTATTTAAAAATATTTTTTTAAAATCTAGACGTGGTATGTGTTATTTAACGGTTTTTTTTAACAATAAAAACTTAAAAGTGTAACGAATAAAACTTTAGACAACTTACTTTTATATTAAGCCTTTTAAAAAAATTACATATTATTACTCAATGATATTGTCGAATTTTAGATTATTTTGATAGTAAAAAATGTGTTTTTTTCATTGATATATGCCTATGACCAGTTGAGTTTTGTCTTGAGAGAACCAAATCCCAAGTAGTCTACTTGAAATTAAAACCCAGAAATGATGGACAAATTGTTTAAGTACTTGATTAGAAGAAAAATATAAGTGAAGTATCTGATTTAACTAAAAAATTTGTTCAGGCATCTAATTTAGAAAAGACATAGTTTTAAGGACTGATTGTTGAATTAAGCCTTGAGATTATGTATAGTTATGAAATGACATCTGATTTTTTTTAATTTTGATGGGTTTATTAAATTTCAGTGGGCATAATATTTTTGCATAAATGCTTATCAGTTACTTATTGAGTAGTTTCTACTTTGTACTCTCTTTTTATTTTACAGGTTTGCATTGTATTAGAATGATTTAAATAATAAGATTTTTTAGATCTTTAAGGATTTAAATATTGGCCGTTAATTTTTAATATAGGATGATGTGATCGTTAATAATCTGATAAAATAGTAGATTTATTTATTTATTACATAATTATAAAAAATAACTCTTAATATTTTTATATTTGTTCACTTAATCTGAATTATAAAAAAATAACCCTAATGCATTTTTTCTATCTTTTATTTCATTTCGTAAGTCAACAAGATAACTTCAAACCAATGCTTTAGTGAATATCAATTTGATTCACAGTTATAAAAATTAATCTCAATATTTGAATTTTTTTTCAGTTGGTAGAAAAATCAAGAATAAAAAAAATGGAAAAGACACCAAAATATTTCCATATATTTTGTACTTATATTTTATTGATTTCAAAAAATATTAAGACATTTTTCATAATTATAGATCGAACTGAAATTAGTAAAAGACTTGATTTAGAGTTAATTTAGGGACTTAGAAAAATAATTTATAAAAAATCATATAGTAAATCATTTTTTACATAATACAAAAAGAAATTTTGTGACCAAGAAAATGAATTCCATTCACCAATTTATTTTCTGTCAACCAAGCATTAGAAAATGAAAACAAATGTTTATAATGAAACAAACAAATTCTTAATTTTTATAATATGCTATCAAAAGGGATAAAATCAAATTTGGTTACATATAGCCATCCTTCTAGTAAGAGATTGATCAATGGGAGTTTTATCGTACTACCTAACATAAAATCATATGTTTATTCATGCCTCACATAAAGTCATACATATATCCATCCCTTTAATGGAAGCACTTTCTTAACATAAAATCATATGTTTATTCATGCCTCACATAAAGTCATACATATATCCGTCCCTTTAATGGAATCACTTTCATAACATAAAATCATATTTTTATTCATGCCTCACATAAAGTCATACATATATCCGTCCCTATAATGGAATCACTTTCATTTTTGAATCGAAACTCGGCATGATGCAAATCATCCACATTGAAAACTTGACAAAATCTCTTGAAACAGAGCTTAAACATCAATAACAAAATTTTACAAGTTACAGTTTCAAGTTTACTCTAAAAGTAGACTTTTGCCAAAGCCTGTATTGGTTTCATTGTTTCTGTCGCTTTTATTACAAGACGGTGCAAGCCAATTACAAGCAACCTATGAGCTCCCTTGGGCTCATGACCTATTCCTTTCTTCCCATCTAAGGCTCTATATATGCTCACACATCGACTGCTTCTGGAATTGAAGGAACTCATCACTTGTCTTAGTGTTGCGTTAAGAATTCGACCTAAGGCTTTTTTGACATCAACCCTGGTCTCTTTCTCATGTGTTGTGCTCCGTATGCAATGGTAGAACCTACTGTTGTTGCAGCCACTATCCAACTGTGTCATGAAATCTAAGCCTTTGCAACTAGTGAATTTATCATCTATTTGAAAATTTAAAATTATCATATATTTGAATTTTTATTTATGTATTTTCTATTAAAAATATATTTTTGCCCCCTTGATTTTATAAATTTATCATTTCTTAAAATTTTAAAAATTCATCATCTAACATAAAATTATACGTCTGTTCCTAGGCGTGAGTTAGATTTCTTACACCCTATATAATTTCATTATTAATTTCGACTCATATTCAAACATACATACAAGAATATAAATCTTTGAAGACTTATGATCATATCTCTAGTACTCACATCCAAATTCGGATATGCCTCATATTTGAATAGGTGTATGAAAATACGAATCTCCAAAAATCCTACTATATACTCACTTTTAAATTCAAATAACATAGAACAAACTCGTATTTTAATATAAATATGAAAATATGAACTTCTAAAGATCCTTGGACATACCCGAATTCGAGTGTAGACGAAAAACCCAGATATATGGAAAATCATCTTCTTGGTATGTTACTGAATCCGGGTTTTTTTTCCCGATAGGGGCCTTGAATTCTGATAATGTTATCTGGTTATTCAGATTTAGCTCCTGGTCAGCGGCCATTGGATTGGAAAACAAGGATGAACATTGTTGTTGGAGCAAACAAGGAACTGGAATCCGCCGGTTATTTTTCGTGACTTTTGAACGTCGAACATCTTACTAGATGAGAGCTTTAATCCCAAACTCTCCGATTTCGGACTTGCAAAGTTAGGGCCAACCGAAGGGAAGGAACATGTGTCAACAAGGTTGATGGGGACATATGGTTATTGTGCCCTGGATGGAGGACGTGATGAGAGGGAAGCTAACGACGAAATCCGATGTCTAAGTTTCGATGTAGTGTTGCTGGAGCTAATATTGGGGAGGAGAGCTATCGATCTCGAAAGACTAACAGAAGAACAGAACATGCCTGCTTGGATATGTTCTCAGAACAATTGTGACATTTGCATGCTTTTAGATTCTTAAGCTTTTGAGTCTAATCTATGTTTATTCCATGTCCTGCAAGCAGAGCGTATTTTTTGAAGACAGACAGAAGTTCACATTATTGGCGGAGATCGCGGATGTCGTAACTGCCATCGAGTTTCTAGCCAGGCCGAAAGGCATCATCGATCGCGGATGTTGCAACTACCATCGAGTTTCTGTTAAAGTATATTGGTGATACACGCTGATGGCTTATGTGCATGGTAGTTTGAGCCTCAAGTGTAATTAGTTGTAGCTCCTAAAGATACAACAGTTAATGCTGTTAGGTGGTTTTGGTTTCTGTTTAAGCAATTATAGTCAGTTAGTCAGTTGAGTTCTAGTAGTCTTGTTGTTATATAAGGCGTGTAAAGGTTGATGAATGAATAAGAAAAGTATTATTTTTTCTCAAACTGTTTCTGCAAAATACGAGAGTATACAGCTCTCTCAACATGGTATCATTCGTCATAAGGTGTGCTTTCGCTGCTCATACTGCGATGGATCAAAGCATCTCGTCTAAAGCTACGTCGATGGAGTTCTCGTCAAGAAACACTAAAGTATTCACCAACAAAAGGGTGAATATAGTCCTTGATGAAACTAATTTTCTATTGTGGAAGCAACAAGTACTTCTCACAGTAAGGAGCCATCGCCTTGAAAAAATGATTCATGGTACAATGCTCCCACCTCCTGAAACATTGGTTGGTGAAGATGGAATTGCAACTGTCAATGAAGAACATGAAGAGTTCTTGGCCCAAGACAGTGCATTGGCGTCCTGGTTGCTCTCAACGGTTAGCTCTCATTTACTTCCACAATTCGTTGGTGCAGAGACTTCTGCTCAAGTATGGAACAAAGTTTTGTAGTTCTTTGCCAATCGCTCTGCCACTGCCATCATGAGCTTACACTACAAGCTCCAATCCCTCAAGAAAGGAGGTGACATCATGAGGACTTATCTCACAAGAGTGAAAGAGTTTACTGATGCCTTGAACTCATATGGAAGTCCAGTGTCAACATCTAAGCATGTGTCAAGTTTCCTCAAAGGCATGTCGAGGGAATATCAACCCTTTA